TAATAGTTAACTCCACCTCGGTCATCATTGATTTTGCAAGAGCTTAATGTGGGACTCTTTATGCTTCCACTTCACATTGTTTCTACAGCAGTTTATTTTTGCTTGGACATTTAAGAGAAAATATATGAAATACAAGTATTATCTGTATTGAATCGGAATCAAATACTCATAAAAGAATGTCAAATCTGCTATCACCAAATTTTAATTTATACTACAGCTATGTAACATGAAATGAAATATACAATTAAAACCTAAAATTACTTACTCAACATCTAGTATTATTATATTATTATATTATAATTATTATTATTTGAATAATATATTTTTGATAACATCTTATTACATTAATAATATATAATTCTACATACTGCAATAATATCGTGTATATTTTGAATATTTCTATTAATTTGTTTTAATTAAATAGGCATACCGTGACAAGTAAGCTACTTAATAATAGTGTATAAAATATATAGAGTACACCACCACACACCTAATCCACCTACAGCAAGTCATAATACTGTATGTGTTCCATATGGTATGACACAATCACCTTACAATGTGGATACTGATACTGTATAATATATCAGACGTAAACATGAATATGTGTGTCGACCTTTTAGATGCCACAATACAGAAATATTAACTAACACCGTATCTCTTTATTCCTACTGTACTATGCTACTTAATGCACCCCTACCACACACATGATTTGCTAGTCTTTCTAACCCTTGACCATCCATATACGGACACAAAGACCAAAAAAGCAGGACACTTCTATTTAGCTGGTACGATAAGGTAACAACCTAAAAGAAAGCTTGACACATACAAATGCGCAAACAAACTTTGGATGTCATCTGCAAGTTTCTCATTCAAAACCTAAACTCTGAAGCAAAACCTCATTTTGCACACAAAACAAGGTAGCAATCAATTGGTTTTGGTTCTGATCTCGTAGGATGTTTGCTGAAGAATACTTCTACTCATTAATATCAATTGCTTCAAGTGATTTAGGACACAGGTGGGCAAATGCGGCCCACAGGCCACCCCACATGCTGCCCGATGGCAATTTTTGGAGCCCTGTGACAACCTTATGTGTGTGGCCTGTCTACCATCTTTGGTTAGAAAATCCTTTGCTTTTATAATCCAATTGTCAAAATATGTAATAAGTAAAATTAACTGAGCATAAAGTGGTATAAAAGCAGTGCAAGCAGGTTTCTGGAAATGTCAAAGTTTATGTGTGGCTCTCAGTGTTTTATCAAAAATTCACTTTATCTCAGTTTCATAATGTTAAGCCATACCACACAATACCTACAGCACCACCACTGTACAATACACCTACCACACGTGAGGCGGATGCAGGATTTGGCGATAAGGGGTGCTGAGAGTCCACACCACCTCAGCCCCACCATGATTGGAGCTGAGGTGCGAACATTTTGAGAATATGAACCTAGGTGCTCAGAAATAGCACTCTTGTATTTATATATATTCATTATAATTATTTTTCTTAATACAATTTAGGAGAGTATGAACGCACTGTCTGTACCCACCCCCTGCCCTGCATCTGCCCCAGCACACACGATATGCATTCCAACCCCAAAAAATTCAAGATATTACTGCTGAAAATGCGACAAATTACATTCAAAAGCAGGACACATCCATTTGCCATCGACTCGATACTGTACACTTAAGACAAGTATGCTTTCTTACAAGTTTTTATAGGCATTATGCATATAGGACAAAACAGTATCACACGGTCACACTGTGTGCAGACAGCCAGATGATGACAGGGTATCAGCAATACACTGACATCTTCCTTTAGGCAGATCTTGCATTTCAGGTAATTGCGTTCTTTTGCCAGTTTCTTTATATCCCACAAAGGAAGCAATGATTCTATTGAAAAAAAAACAAACCAGTCTATTATTAATGTCTGTCTCTTATAGGGGGTGCACACTCTCCCTAATTTTTTTCAAAATTTAAAAGTGGAGAAAAAAGAAAATTACTGTATATTCAAATTTAGTCTGAGAGTGCTATTTCTGGCCATAATCATAAATTTCTTACCTCAGCCCCAACCGTGGTGGGGCTGAGGGTGTCTATATTCTCCATCTGGAAAAGTCACTCCCTTGGCCCCCTCTATTTCAAATTTCTGGATCCACCACTGTATTTTAAAAATGTAGTATGGAAATCAACATTAATTGCATTACTTAAAATTACAACGATACAACTTACAAAAGGCTATAGGCGTGAGAGCTTTCCTAGACAACCCCCCTGGCTCCAACCAAGACTTGGGTCTACAGCCAAGGCTTTCTTTTTTCGCATTTCATCCCCCCACCCCAATTTCAACCACGGATTGACGTCCTTGATTTAGAAAATTTGGCAGATAATTGGTCTCTGGTTTGTTACTGAGAAATCGGTATAGTTGAACTTTAAATTCCTTGATTATTTGGCAACAAGTCAGAGAACTTTCCCAACAACCAAGTCAGTGGTGGCGCCAGAGGGGGGGGGGGGGGCAGTGGGAATCTTCCTCCTGTTGGACAGGCCTGAACCACCCCCCTACCCGTTGTCTGATGCATGTGTCGGCCATTAGCCACAGTGGGGTTGTCGAACCAAAAATAATAATTTGCCTATCCAAATAACGTTAATTTGATTGCCAATCCCTAATATTGTGGCCTGAATGCACAATTGGGTCGTACTAAGCCATTAAAACTCAAGTCAACCCTACCAGGTATTTTTTATCCAGAACCATAATTAATTTATTTGGTCCTTTGTTTCGGACCCCCTATCGGACATGTTGGACCTCATGTCGGACAACCTGTCACGAAATTTTGGAATCACTACTGGCATACATGTCGCAATTGCTGTAGCAGCAATGTAGCAAATTTATAGACCAGGCTTTATCTGTTGCTTTTATGATTTGTAGCTCTATGTTTATACGACCCAAAAAAACTTGTATAGGTGTAATTTTGCCCTACCTGTCGTGGAAATGTACCGAATACTCAGTACATTTGAAAACAACTGCGAAAAAAAATCGCAAGTTGTTGGGACTCGAACCCACGATCTCCAGATCACTAGCCTAGCATCATAGCACTAGACCATCGAGCTTGCGCCTGATGGCCAGGGTTGAATTCGAGTCCAAGTAAGCAGCGGGTACTGCAGTGTTGATAGTAATTGTTATTGTCGTGATGGAATAATAGACAATAACTGGATTTGCGTCAGGAGAAAAAT